CTCTCTGACAAGGAAATAAATATATTTCTATTAAATTGACTCTATCTCTTCTCACCAGTTCAAACACAAACGCTAAGTAGCAATACGCCATATTGTCTAAATATTTTCGAACGCGCGGGTGGTCATAAATTTGTCAACCAAATTACACTGTAAAACTAAGACCACCCTATTAAACTCATGAATCACCAATAGAATACATAGACTTTTCTAAATGTTTGCATTTTGCACCGCACCGAGATCAAAAGGACCAATAAGCTTTTCCTTTAGACTAACGTCCAAAATTATTAATCAGGAACATAGAAAAGAGGGGTAACATATATAAAAACCCATGTCAGCTCTTTCCGAAGGCCTAGTATCATTAGAACTCAGTGTGTGCGGGGTTAATACTCAGTCTTGTCTTACTCAGTCTTATTAAAGTCGAAACTATTATTAAAAACACAAAGTGTTAATATCCCGTGGAACGTTCTGTCATGGTGGAAAGAAACAAGGTGAGTTAGTCTCGTGGTTGCGCAGTAGTCTAAAGGTAGTGGGGAGCGGACAGCCAATCATAGGGGGCCCATTTCATGAAAATTCAGTATGGCTGATGGCTGATGACATGCTTTATTAACGTATATAAAGTGTATACAGTGTTCCTCTTAAAAAAATATATAGTGTTCGTGCAGAGAGTTTTCTTAAAATTTGGAAAAGACCGATGTGACCGTCGTGTAAGTAATAAATGAATATATAATATGAAGATTTGTTTAGAGTTTGGTGTAATATGTAATATTATGTGACTTTATCTTTGTAGACAGTATGCCGACCTGTTGCATTAAAAATTGTAATAGTCGCAGTATTTATTTATTTACAATACTGTTTTTGATTTTTTTAATCAGCTGTGAACGTTTGAATTTTGCGCGCATAAAATGGGTCCCCTGTGATTGGTTGACAAGCAAGTCCCCCAACTCTTTGCCGCCATTATGCGCAATAACTCACCTTGTTTCTTTCCACCATGCGTTCTGTGACAAGATTGTGCAATTTATTTGTGCAACTACCACCTGTAACAGCTGCCTGAAAAAACCGCTGCTTTCGCTTTCTAGAGCCAGAAGCCCCGCCTAGAGCAATTACCGTTGACTTCCGAGACCCTACGAGAATCTGTAATCAGTAAGTTTCTCTATCTGACATTTTTTTATATACACCCCCTACTCAATTTACACAATGGGATTCAGTTTTTTTCTCCTTTCATTTTAGTGAACTACAACTTGAGTTCAACTTCTCAACCCGCTCGCCGTTTACGCCCGACTCGATCTCGAGTAATCCAAAACTTAACAAACTTATTGATTTTAATACATTTACTTATTGTAATTTATTAGCAAACATCATTATTTTTTATTGTAATTTATTAGCCAACATTATCATTTTTATTTTATTGACACTGAAGATGTAATTTATTAGCGACCGTTACTTTTTGTGGTTTATTTACTTGACACTAAAGATGATCTGATATTAGGCCGAAACATATGTTTCTATACTTTAATACAAATAGTTCGCACTAACAACAAGCGTTTTGACTTTTCTTGCTCCTTCTACATTATAACAAACTTATTGGTTTTCTTTGGATCAACATCATTCGCGTCGTCATATCTAAGATTTAGGATCAACCGCCTCCGTCGCCCCACTCGTCGTTTCACACACACACACACACACACACACACACGCACACGCACACACAAATCCAATTGATATCGACACACCAAGATCCCCTTTCCCACCGGAACTACTCATAATACCTACTTCTCCTCCATTAATCTTTCCTCAACCAATTTTTGATGTTCCCGAAATCGAACCAGATTACAGCAATATGTTTTCTCCAAGCGCCTCTATACCTAAATCCATCCGTGACATAATAAACCTTCGCCAAAATGAATTTTCCGATCTCGATTTTTATGACTCTCCGACCCGCCGACATTCCCCCGTCTCTCATTCTCCCAGGCTATTGCCAACATTATTTTTATATATTCCCCATATTAACAACCGTTTGCCTCCCGAAGAGTAACCAACACACATATCACTCACACATGTAATTGTAACATTAGTTACCAAATTGTTATTAACTAACATTAGTTATAAGTCATATTTTTATGTTATAAATATCTATGTATAATATATATCCAGCAATTTGTATTAATTTAGACTTCATTTTTATAGGTTTAAAAGATCAATTAGTATGATACATTTGGTTAAACAACGTAATTATAATCTTATTGTCTTATGTATTAACAAACTCAAAAATTATGCTTTTTTAAATTAAATATAATTTACTTTCTAAAACTTTTGTTTTAATTATCACCAACGTCTCATTTTCGTTCCTCCCTTAAGGGTTTGCACTGGTTCTGTCACTAGTAATTGAAATTACTATCTCAGACCAAAAAGGGAATCATCCGAACGGCAATACTGAATAGCGGAGTAAGAGCGACCTTCAGTCGTTGACCCGTTTTTCAGATTTCTATAAACAAACCGTTCGGGTCACTGGGTCAGACTTGAAATCTGACCGGTGATACGCGGCTGTTACGATCCTCCTCTGACTTCTCCAAGTGAGGACGTAACACGTGTGTCATTTTTTTTAAATGCAATACTCATAAATAATGTCAATATTCATAAAGGAAAAGGAGTATGTGTTTTAGTTGTGTGTGCTTTTGAAAGTTTTTGAAAAATGTCTCAGTCTGCCAAACGTCAGCGGCTTCTGCTTAACTTTTTCTCTAAAAAAGAAAAAACTGATTTCGAAGAAAAGCCCAATAAAGATAAAGGTAAGTTAGCTTAGATGTGAATCAGATTATACGCACGGAGTAGTATAAAGAGACAAAATTAATGCTTCCGAAAACGGTCATACAAAAAATCTTGCGTAAGCTTCACGCAATTTTTCCATTACGAAAAAGATCTTGTTTAAAAAAATATTAAAAATTAATTTTGTTTTGAAAAAAAAAAAAACTAAACAACTTTAATTTCAAATTTTTAAATTGAACATTTGTTGGTAAATTATTTTTTCACATATTAGATCTGCCGTTTTTATTTATTTGATAATGGATTCGTAATCAGTTACTTCAAAAACTAAATAATATACATTTTTAAGTCAAACATTTTTGGATTTTTGGCCAAAATTCAAAAATCTGGAACTTCTTTCTGTTATTGTACTCATATTTTCAATCGAATTATTTAATATTTTAGATTCTCAAAAAAATAAAACAAAATAAATAAGGATGAACTTCAGCGGGAACAAACGTCACAAGTTATGTAACATTTTTATATTTTTTAGTGTGCAATATAAAATTATCCTGACTTTTGGTCATACTGTTTCATTTTGTGTGTGTGTGAATTTTAACCCCCCACCCCCGCGAAAAAATATCCTGGGTGCGCCACTGGGCACATATAATAGTGCTCTCTTTCAATGGTTCACCGGTTTTGTTATAAAAACTTGTTACAACTCAGAATTCTGTTCGAGGCCAGAAATAGTTGTCGGAAGGAAGACCGAATCGAATAGAACACTAAACCAAACAGTATTCTGTTCGAAACGCTGTTGGATTACGGCAAATGTTCTATAGTCTATATCCTACCTTAAAAGAAACATGTTATTTACTTTTTGAGCCTCTTTTCGTTGTCATCGTGACGGTTATCGATCGATTTATCTATCGCCAAGTTCGCGTAGACGATTTTGTTTATTATCGATCGGTTGTCATAGAGATGATTGCGTTTGACAGTTTGTACTTTGACAACTTTATTTTAATAGCTGTTTGACAAGTTTAAAGTGTTGAAAGAAAAGGAAGGAAAGAAAAGAAAAAAAGGTGCGCGTGTAACGCGCGCATGTACATATGTCTTACAAGGGGAGGACGCGGACTTCGGGTCACCGATTTCAAAGAAATTTTTATATAGTATAGTACTCTATCAGAAGAGTACTTTAGTAAAAGGATAGGGCGCAACGCTCAGCCGTTTTCGAGAAAAATCTATTTGAAGTTCATGACGTCCCTTATATTCCGGTCCTGTTGGATCAATTGTCGAGATGGCGGCGTAGCTCGGGCACTTAGGCTCTGAGCTATCACGCTGTCAACCTAGGTTCGATCCCTGCCTATTATACTTTTTTTCATTTATTTTATTTATTCTAGCGAATATTTATTCATTATATTATTATAATGAAATAAATTAATTTTAATTAACAATTTTGTTTTTTTTTAATTTTGTCACTTTCACTACTTCTATCATATAAAAAATAAAGTAAAAAAAACGTACTACGATTTAAATAATATTATAATTATTATTTAATACCAGAAATATTTTATTAATTATAATTTAATTTGGTATGTAATTTTTCACTCAACTTCGTTGAGTTACTTATTGCTCCAACCATAATATTTGTATACCTAATGTTTTCACATCAGGTAACTGCTAACAGTTTTTAGCTCTCCTTCAGACTACTTCCCTTCTGTAACGTATATTTCTACACACCAAATTAAATTATGATTAATAAAATATTTCTGGTATTAAATAATAATTATAATATTATTTAAATCGTTAAACGTTTTTTTACTTATTTTTTATATAATAGTAGTGAAAAGTGCAAATTAAAAAAAACAAAATTGTTAATTAAAATAATTTTATTTAATTATAATAATATAATGAATAAATATTCGCTAGAATAAATAAAATAAATGAAAAAAAAAGTATAATAGGCAGAGATCGAACCCAGGTCGACAGCGTGATAGTCCAGGGCCTAAGTGCCCGAGCTACGCCGCCATCTCGACAACCGATCCAACAGGACCGGAATATAAGGGACACCATAAACTTCAAATCAATTTTTCTCGAAAACGGTTAAGCGTTGCGCCCTATCCTTTTACTCAAGTATTCTTCTGATAAAGTACTATACCATATAAAAATTTCTTTGAAATTGGTGACCCGAAGTCCGCGTCCTCCCCTTGTTAGTAAAATTAAAATGATTGCAGACAGAAAATACTGTAAGTTTTACAAATATATACCTCACAATCTGCGATCAAGTCGTCGTTGCAATCACAATCATGATTGTTGTCGTTGCTGTAGATTTGCTTAAAGATGTCTGTGCTAGAGCCGCACGTTATTTGCTCCGTTGATTTTGCAAAATTTTTGCTGTGCAGTTTTTGATCTTTGTTGAATCTTTCATTCTCTGGATTATAAGCGATACCATTCATAGCTTGATTCACATGTTGTGCTACCAGTTGGGGATCGATGATCTTGGGCTGCAGGTAACTGGATCCATCCTGTTGGAGTAATATAAAGTCTTTCTACACATGTATCAGACAAGACAAAATATGTATATGTTATGTGATAATTACATCGACATCAGATTGTATGTTAATGCATTCTTCATCCGAATCTGGTCTCCTGACTATTATTTCAGTTTCCAGGTTTGGCAATGCACTCGCCATAGGCATCGGATGATTTATCACATCAGGGTCCTTTGCAAGAAAAATATCAGTTTTTTTGAAGAATTTATTGTATAATTAATTCATTCAGTTTCCCAATTTTTTAGACAAATTATATGAAATTGTTATTGAATGCCTCAAAAAGATGAAAATTTTAGAGGATGTAGTATAAAAATATAAATCATTTTGATGTAAATAAAACATTATATATACAGTGTGTATAATTAGTGTGTCCCACATTAATTGCACCATACGATAATGGCACATTCTTGAGATTATTTTGAAATGAAAATCCTAATGCCAAAATGTCTAGGCTAAATAGTTTTTAAATTAAAAGCATTTAAAATTTATCACATTCAAGTTGCTCCAAAGGCACAGTTGTAAAAAAACGGATTGATATCTGAAGATATCCTCATTACTGTGTTACATTAATACCGTGCCTCAGCGCGCAAATTTGAAGCAAACTGATTGGTCAACTCTGAATGCTTCTCATTTAAAAACTATTGTAACCTCGACATTTTGATATTAGGATTTTTATCTTAAAATGATCTCAGGAATGTGTCATGTGGTGCGGTTACTATGAGACATCTTGTATATATTATACAAGGTGATTCAAAACAACCTGATGTCCTTGAAGTGTCATATTCTCGAGCAATTTCTAAAACGATCTTTCCTTTTGCAAAATTTTGTCCGAAGCTTAGTTTTTGAGTTATAATTGAAAATAGGTCGCCACTTACATGACTTCGGTACAACGGGCAAGTAGGGACGATGCAATACATTATAAGACTAACAAAACATTTGACAGTTTCATGATGCGTTGCGTATCCCTGCCTGTCTGCTGTACAAGACTCGTGTGTGAGTAGCAAACTATTTTCAATTATAACTCAAAAACTAAGCTTCGGATAAAACTTTTCTAAAAGAAAAATTATCTTAGAAATCATTGAAAAATATGACATTTCAAAGACATCAAGTTGTTTTTAATCACCTTTTATTCACAAAAGTGTCCCATTTTAATTACCCATCTCGAATATTTTGTAACTGACGTATTTTCGTGGAAAGTATTTCAGATAAAATTTATTTGGTCCTGAGGGGGCCATAAAAAATTACTGTTTGTTTAATCTGTTGTGCCCCTTTTGAGGGCACGGGTTCGGGATCTGCCGAGAATGTTAGAGTAGACCGGGAATCCGGAAATTGTATATCTCGTAATAAATAAAACGAGTTTCCATATATTTCGTGGTTTCTTGATTTTACAAGTTTCCTCTTTTTTACAATGTACTAAGTTCCGTTTCAGGAATCTTTATCTTAGCTTAGTTTTCACGGAGTCTCAAGTTACTCTTATTTGTTAGTTACGATTCGCGATCTTCTTGATACGTGTCCCGATGGACATACGTCCGTCCCGTTTGGTTGTTAATTTTCGACCCGCCGTCGTGGTCTCGCGACGGCGGGCGATTTTATAATCGCGAAACTGCAATTGATTGCAGTTTTGAAGGTCTTTCGATCGAACTTGCTGACGGATTCTTGATAATTTGTCAGCATTCTCGCGTTAGGAACGAATTAGGTTTCGATTTACGCTGCACGATTCTCCAGTGTCTCGTACGAGCCGGAAATGCACTGAATCGTCAGCGTTCTTATCTGATATAGTGTAATAGATATTCTTATAATATTTTATTAATTAATAATTGGTTGTGGTTCTCTGGACCCACAACAAATCTTAGAAGAAGGCGATAAGATCACGTCAAGATTACTTTGGTTTCTTTAAACGGGAACCTATACTTTTCATGGCATATTTTTGTAGCCGATGTTGAGGCGTTTTTGAAACACTACCTCCGGCATTAGCAGTACTCAAGATGTATCACGCGGGAGTTATTCCATCAGATTTACACTTTGTGTGTGTGTGGAAGAGGGGGGGGCGGGGGAAGGTATGTGATGTGCATAGATAAATTTTTAATTTCTCAAATGTTTGAAAACATTTCCTTCTACCTCAAAGTAGTGGTGCAATCGTCTTTCAAACTCGCAATTGGTATTTAATAAAACGTTACTAGAAATTAGTCTGCAAGCATTAACACTGACAATAAGTGCCTAGCACATTTTGAGCGTGATCCCGCGGGGCCCAAATGACAAGCGCGCGACTGTCGGTCGAGTTTTGTAGCGGGCTAAGCATCGAAATCATTTTCATTTAGAATAAAGAAATAGATAGGCAATACTCTGTCCAGCGAGAGAATATACCTCGGTCTGCGCATAGGAGAAGCATAGCAGCCAAAGTAAGGAGAGCGTTGGCATTGACAAGCTGCACGAGCAGTACAGTTATGTGGAGTGGGGGGGGGGAAGGTTTCTAAGCGTTTCGTGAGGGGAAACCTGCGCAAAACAGACTAGTTTTCGTCCGAACCAGGTATATTCTCTCGCTGGGCGGAGTATAGACAGATTTTTAGTAATTTTGAATAAAGGGATTTTATTTCGCGCTTTTGCTGATTATCAGTTTATAAACTTCCTAAAAAAACCAAATAGTTGCAACGTTAATTTTAATAGACATCTCCTAGAAAAAGAACAAATTTTGAAATAGATGGAGGACAATTTTTTACAATGAAAAAGGAGAATGTATTTTCCTTTTGAATACCGTCTGATAATCCTATGCAAGAGTTTGAATGAGTTATTTGCAGTCGGCATTTGCGTTATTAACCGTGTATTGTCACGCGCATGAGATTTTGTTAGTCTGTTGTGTTATGCTATGCGTCTCGCTCGCGTTAATCTTGGAAATATCTAACTATTGCGTTTAGCGTTCGGATTGCACGTGATAAACTTAGCGCTTGGATGTAGCATTTTGGATTTAATATGTAGCGTTTGAATTTCAAAAGTGTGATCATAATAGCGGGAATTCGGCGAAAAAATGTACGTTGCATTGCTTGAGATCATGCAAGTCTATGAATGTCACATAATCATCGCGTATATTGCGTTTATAATTAATAACAGAGATTTGACTCATTCCGAAACGCATACCCTATCGTACTCATCCGTGCTTCTTGCGCTATAATTGTTACTTTCTCGTGTATTGTGCCTCGTCACGTATGTTATACAGGGTGACCATTAGGATTTAGTTAAAAGTAAATAGTTATTATTTCATAAAAAGTAGACCGAACGAAATAATAAATAAAACGCCATTTTGTAGCGGAAACTTGTCAAATTTTATTACCGTAAGTATGAAACAAATATATAATATTTTAATAATTCAAATACACATTATTAAAAAAGGGGCAAAAATTTGCTTGCTCGCGTGACTGATGGTATATGTTTTTAAAATGTTATTCATCGGAATCTGCACAGAATTGCAACCGTTTTTAAAAACTTTGAAAAACATTATCCAACATGACTGTAGAAATGCTGCGAGTGCATTTTCGAATGCTATCAGCTCTTCGGTGTTTTGAGACTGTACAGCATAACATTTGTCTTTGAGGTATCTTTAGAGGAAAAAATAGCACGGGTTTAAATCGGGTGAATAAGGAGACCATTCCAGACCTCCTTGAATAAATTTCGAATATCCTAACCCAATCACCCTGTTGTCATACACTTTATGTATCAATTCGAACATCGCGAGTACGTTGTGGAATCGCGCCATTTTGCATAAAATGAAATTTTTTTACTAATCCTCATTTCTTTGCATGAGGAAAAAATTTTGTCTTTAACAACTCTTTATAACTTTCACTGATAACGGTTCCTTCACAGAATCCTTCACAGAATCCTTCACAGAATTGCAGATAAACTCCTTTTACAGAAATCGCAGTCCACGCGGAAACTTTTTGGGGATGAAGAGGAACGGCAATCGACACATTCTGATTTTTTTTTCGTATGTCTACGATCATTCAAAGTGCCATACATACTAAAATTATTAATAATTCTACGAAAAAATATCAAATAATGAGTAAAATCTCAGATCATCAGCATAATGTGTAGATGAGATTAGGTTATGGTGCAATTCCAAGGAAGAAGCATACCTTCTGAGTAAATATTCGCTAGAAATTTTTTTAGATCTATATTTACTACGGAATCCACGATACGTTTCAATATAGTTTTTGCCTCTACTATAGAAGCAATCGATAAGAAACACTTTTTCTTCAATGTTTAACGCGTTTATTTTAACACTCATAAACCGGCTTGTATAACGGCTCAAATAAAATTGATAGGTCACAAGTACTGTGTAACGGTGCAGCCCGCAAGCTGCATCGTTACGGCTACGGACCGTCCATCGTCCGTAGCCAACCAAGGGCGCATCGAGCGCCGATAAATTTCTTATCGTAACAACGGCGGTCAACCGCCGAAAATCCCCCACACCCGACCGTTCCGAAATTCCGTTTTGTGGGGGGCTCGCCGCCGAAACCGCCGATGCTTGCCGATTCGAAACCATTCGGCTGCCAGCCGGGTATAAAAGAGGCCCGGCTGAACGTCTTCTCACCAGACCCGGTTCGTTGCCTCAGCAGCGAACAATCCTGCTGCGAGCGTTCTCGTAGTCCGACCGAGAGTACTCGGATTCTATGCCTTCATTCCAGGTACACGAGCGTTCTCGATACCGTTTCTATCTCCGATACGAGCGTTCTCGTATACCCGTCGAGCGTACTCGGCTCCTCCAGGCATCGATCTTCGTATGCAGGGCATTCCCTCATACTTAGTCGAGTCGCCGCTCTGAATCCGCCTTCGTACGAGTGTTCTCGTACGTCCGCCGATCAGTTTCGGCCTCAAGCCTCTAGTACGAGCGTTCTCGTATTCCCGTCGAGCGTACTCGACGTCATGGTCCTAATTTCGCGTTGCCGCGCACCAGGGATTCATCCGCAGAATCCAGCGGGCAAATTGTGTCGACCAATCCGCGCCGTCAAGCGACCCGTCACGATCTACGATCGAACGGACTCGCGATACCGTCACGAACGCACTCACCGACGAGTGTTGCGTTGTACCGACCGTTGCGACACGATCGCCCGCGCTTGCGCTCTCTCTGATCGCACCAAGACGCCTCACGTCAAACTCTAATGATTAATTCACCGCCGCTT